CGCGAGCAGTGGCGCGGGGAGGCGCGGTGCGATTTTGTCCATCTCTGATTTGTAAGCTTTCTGTAATTGTATTTCACATTATGTTCTTTACGCCTTCTATTTAAACTTAGTCAATGGAACTGAAATATACAAATCCTGTTTTTTTTTGAAATATTTGAAAGAAGAAAATGTATAGAATATTGTACGAAAACATTTTATTGTTGAACTATCTGGCATAATTCAATATTTCAAATAGCGAGAACATTTGATATCGATACATTGTCATTATCAACATGAATTTCAGCGATTTTTTCTTGTTTTATTACTCTAAGACGCTTAGAACCTATCCAGTCTACTATAATATTAGTGTGATAAAAAAACCTAGAGAGAATTCTTTAATACCATCTGAATTTTATGCTTCTTTATCCAATTTTTAAGTACAGTCATTCTATCTGAGCAATAAAATATGATTAAGTATAAAAGTCACATATGAATTGATTAAATTGCTGAAGATTTATTTAAATTTTTGTTCCGACCTTTCGCACACTCTGTAAATAACATATATGGTCTCTTTCTCTCTCTCTCTCTCAGATCATAAAACGTAGTTATATTTACTTATCAATATAGATTAATATGCTTTTTTTTTTATATTCAAAAACAAAATATAACACGAACTATAGTATGAAAAGTTTAATAAAAATCTGATTTTTTTTTTTTTTTGTGTAAATCTATGCATCATTTATTTTTAAAATGCACCGAATTCGATATGATTGACTTTCAACGTTGCAAATATGTGATTATTTTTTTTGTAAACGATCTATTGACTTTTTCTTATCTCATTTATTACAGACAATTCTGCTAATTGGCGTAAAAACATTTTTCATCTGAATGTCTCTATATTACAAATCAACAAGATAGTATAGAAACTAAAAGGGTAAGTATTGAAAAAGAATTATGATATGGTCTTGCTATTTCTTGTTTGATATTTAAACTTGATGAAATAAGACCATATGAAAATTATCTAAGATCTACAATCGAAAGGCTTTCTCGATGATGATTTCATCAATCAACAGAGAACATCATATGTAGAATCATTGACATAATATGCATAGAATTTTATACATTTTGTAAACAATTGCAGATGATAATCAAATATCCTTGATGTCAATAGTTCGGATTAATATGTGTCGGAAGTTATCATTAATAATATGCAATGAGATAAAGTTACAAACTATAAAAAAAAAAAAAAGAAAAGATCATAATCACAATTCTATAGAATTTGATTTTTGTTTTTTTTTCTGATAAACTCATATTCTTAAATAAAAGATTGATTTTCATAGTGGTCAATGTCCAGCATCGATACATCCTGATCGTGAAGAATCAGTTCCTGAATCAGTTTCATGTCTTGGTATTGTTCCACATACAATACGTAGTTTTCTTAGTCGATATTCAACTGTATTACCAACTGGTGAAGCATTTTCACAATGTGTTGCTTGTTCACCTATAGTAAATATAGATTTGATATTTGATTATATATTTATTTTAATATGAAAATATTTTTAGGTACGTAAAGCTTTTCAAGATGATGGTTTTTCATTTCTATTAAAAGTCTTTAATGATTTAAATTATTTGGAAAATTTAACTGGTCTACGTGCAATGCAATTAGCAGCTGATCTTCATGAAGTAAAATTTTAATTATATAAAAAAATGAAATATAGTTTTTCTCGTTTTATTTTATTTAATTTTAGATAATTGAATTGAGTGATGATGAAGAGATTTAATCATTGATGAATATAATGCATTTTTCATTTTTTCTGATTTAGCACATTTTTATTTATATGATTTTATAAGACAAAGATAAAAGAAAAAAATAAAGAAGATAATTCAATGTTGTTTTAATTAAAAATTAGATCATTTTTGATTATGAATCAAACAAATAAAGCTTAAAAGATAAATAGCTTAACAAAATATTGTTGTATTTCTATGAATTTCATTCATTTTGAAAATATTAATATGATGAACACATTCAATTACTAAAAAATATGATTTTATTAGTAAAGTATTAGTAAAATATCTTAATAGGATTACATAGAAGTCGCAGCTTCTTTGATAAATAGTTTTGTTTTATATTAGCAAAAAAATTTATCGTGTAGTTTCATGATCATTTTTTTAAGTTCAATATTTATTGGTAGTATTTTTTAAAATAATTATAGAGTAAAAGGATAATAATAGCTTTTAGACAAGAACAATCAATCTGTAATATTTTGTAATGATATGTTATTAAAAGTTTGTTGAATTTTTTTTAATAGTCTAACAATTTGCTTTTTAAAAAATATTTTAGAAGAGAATTTTTGTATAAATATGAATGATAATAACTTTACAGATTTAATATCAATCAAGAAAAAAAGATTCTGTAATTTTGGAAAACCATTTCTAAATTAAATTTATATAAAATAAGCGGTAATGTTATTCTCTTTTTTTTTTTGATTAAATTAACAAATCACTCGTGTGAACTGACTTGATCAAACTAACATTCAATAGTATACATTGTATGAAAATAAAGAAAATAGCAAGTTAATGAAAATGTCGCCCTGGTTAAGTACTCAGGCAAAAAAAAAGAATGAATGTCATCATTTTAAGTAAAAAACGGAAATTATCTTTCACTTTTCTGCTCTCTTTTCTTTTGCTTTATTCATATTTGTTCAACGACAATTCAATTGCATTTATTAAGCAATTTTATCATATTCATTATAAATGATGGAAGAAGAAACAAAAAATGCTTTCTATCTTTCAATTGTTTCTTCATCTTCTTTGTGTTTTGTTTTTTTTTTTTTAAAGACACTCTAATTAATGAAAAACCGTTTTTCTTTTTTTGGATTACGACACAATCATATTGATAAACAAATGAACATAAACGAAGGATGAAAGGAAAAAGTCAAAAGAATAGAAGGGAAAGAAAGTTTCTTGTTTTTTTTTTGTTGCAAATGTTTATGACAAGCGAAACACAAAAGAAGAAACAACACCGATAACCAACCAACAGTGAAACAAAAAAAACGACGAGGACACCGTTCTCAAAAGAAGACATGTATAAGGCAATAATAAATCTATATACAGACACATTGTTTTGTTTATTTACAAAACAATGTAAACTAGGCTATGTTATAATAGATAGATAAATTGTAATGAAAAAGACAAAAAAAAAAGAAAGAAGGAAACTATGTCTGTTGAGTTCTATAATATTATTAGTTCTTCTTTGGTTCCATCATAGGCAGTTGTTATCACCTGAGAAAAATAATAAGTATAATAAATTGATAGAAAAAAAAAAAAAATTTTTTTTTTGTTAAACATTTTTCTATTAAAGTTTTGATGTTTCATGAAAATCATCACGAACACGCAATCGTCGTTCAGTACTAATTTCTGATGCTGTTCGAGCTTTGATAGGTGCATCGATATTTTCTGTTTCTTCAACATCCGGTGGACCTAATTCAGAACGAACAAGATAATTAACAACACCAGCTCCAATACCATCACCCAATATATTAACTGATGTTCGAATTCGATCTCTAAATAAAAAAATTACTAAATAAAGAAAAACAAAATTTTCCACTAACAAAGCCCAATCAATAGCAAAAATAATTGTAATTTCTTTTGCAGGAATATTCACAGCTGACATAACTAATAGCATTGTAACAAGACCTGCCGATGGAATTGATGCAGCTCCAATAGAAGCTACTGTTGCTGTTAAACTATTCATAGAAACATTTTATAATATTAGTTTTTATATGTTTCATATATATGATTTACCTAACAATAATTAATTGACCAATACCTAAGTGTCTACCCATAAGTTGGGCAAGAAAAACTGGAGCAACAGCTTCATATAAAGCCGTACCATCTAAATCATTCTAATGATTGTTTTACTATGAATATATATTGAAAATTTTTCTTACCCATATTAACAGTTGCTCCAATAGGTAATACAAATCGTGTTACACGTCTATCTAATTTTAATGTTTCTTCCAAACATCGAAATGTTACAGGTAATGATGCAGCACTAATAAATTGTTTATTTTTTAAATAAATTAATATAAAACTTTTTCTTTTTTTTCTGTTCTTACCTTGAACCTGTACCAATACCAGTTAACCAAGCTTGAAGCATACCTTTATAAAATGCAAATGGATTTTGACGTGTTACAGCATAAAATATGAGTGGTAAAGTAATTAATGCATGTATAGCTAAACCAAGTAAAACAGTAAATGCATACATTCCTAAACTTCGAGCTAATTGAACTAAATCTTCTATTTCTAAAATTTTTCCAGCAACTAAAAACATAATACCCAATGGTGAATACCTAAATAAATAGATCATATTTTTTAGTTTTTTTTTTTTCAATTATTAATTAATTACATACCACATAACAAGTTTAACCAATTTCATGACAATTTCATTTAATATAAGAAAAAAATGTAACATTGGTTCACCTCGTTTACCCATTGTTCCAATTGTAATACCAAATGCACAACAAAATGTAATCAAACCTATTTATATGAATAAAATGTTTTTCTTTTTTTTTTTTGGACAAAAGAAAAAAAATTTTCTAACCCAAATAATTGGTACCAGCAACATAACGTGTAATAAATTTTATTTTTGTTATATTCATATTTGTAGTATTGTCCAAAGCATGATGATATTCTACAAAAAAACAAAAGTCTTCATAAAATAATAATTAAACTAAATTGTAATCGAACCTCTTGTTGTTTTAATTTGTTCAAGTGCTGCTTGAATTATATTTTCAGCAAACATATTACTAAAAAGAAAAAAAAAATTTTATTTTTTTTTTTGTTTTAATTAATTCATTCGAAATTTTATTTCTACCGAATTAAATCAAATATAGCATCAAGTGTTGTTACTTGATCAGATGATGGATCACTACCTATTATATCAGAAGTTATTTCAACTTTACTTGCACGTTCACCTGGTCGAATAACTTGTACCAATATAATACCAAGTACAGCAGCAAGTACAGTTGTACAAAAGTAATATGTTAATGCATATAAACCTAATTTACCACTCGATTTTGGATCAAGTACAGCTAAACCTATTTTTGTTTTTTAATAGAAAATGATATTGATTAAAAAAAACAAAAAATGTTTTTTTTTTTGTATCTTGATAACATACCAGTTATAAGACTGGATGTAATAAGAGGTAGAATAAGCATTTTCAGCATACGCATAAGAATATCACCGGGAAACGAAAGAATCATAATCGTTTCGGTGGATGGGCTTGACATACGAACAAGAAATCCAAGTAAGAAACCCATAAAAACACCGGCAATAGTCAATGTAAGAAGTAAATTATTACGTAGAGAACCAATAAAACTTGAACAACACTAATAATAATTTTCATAAAAGAAAATATTTATTTTTTTTGTGTTTCTTTAAATTACTTTTGTTAATGATGATCGATTATCATTAGTTCTTATTTGTGGTGGATGATTTTCATCATTGAGCATTGCTATAGTTTGATCATGTTTTTCATCCATAGTTTAAGCTAATTGAAAAAAAAAAGAATAAATGATCTATTCTATGAATAAGAAATTTTACCTTCTCTAATTTCTTTTCTGTTAAATGATAAATAAACTTAACGTAAGTGACCCTTTTCTTTTTTTTTTATTCAAAAAATAACAAAATTGATATTAAATGTCAGCCTATACGTTTATGTAATATCTGATAGTATTCGTAAGTATAATTCGACCTCTCCTTCTTTTTAATGCATTCGTATTCATTTTCAGCTGCCTGTAAGTATGTGTAATAACTGTGAAAAAAAAAAAAA